TGTGTGTGTGTGTGTGTGTGTGTGTGTGTGTGTGTGTGTGTGTTTTACAGAGAATTGCTTCATACAAGCGAGGCAATATTACCATTTACTTAACTAAGCTGTCTCTGTGAACTTTCTTTTCATTCCAGTATTCTGTTGACAGGCGCACAGACAAACACACACACACACACACACACACACACACACACACACACGCATGCACGCACACACAATCACAAATAAAACATGTGGCCCTATGAACATGGGTTAAATATATAGCCAAGAATATGATTTGTACTTTGGTTGAATGTATACATAATTGATATCCCAGTAATTATCCCAAAAGCTTCACTTAGTTTGTATTAACTGTCTTTTACCAAAACCTTGTAAAGAGTATAAGAACTTTTGAATGTCACCTGGCTGTTTGCTCCATGGAAAAAGGAAGCCTTGGTGAGTAGACATGGAGAATAAGATATTTCAGATTGTTAGTCAAAATTAAAAACTTTTTTCTTTACTGGGGAAAAGGATTGAGGCAGGAATCTTGTAACAACTTTGGGATGGATCTTTTCAGACTAGTGTTCCAAACGTACGGCAAACACAAGAGAAAACTGAAATAAGGGTCTGGGAAGATGGTTCAGTCAGTAAAATGCTTGCTCTACAAGTGTGAGGACCAAGTTTGAATTTCCAGCACTTATGTTTTAAAAAAAAAAGAAAAAGAAAAAAAGCCAGTAGGACCATGAAGTCTGTAATCCCAGCACTGAGGAGGTGGAGACAGGAAGATCCCAGGGGATTGCTGGCTTGTCAGGTCTAGGTGAATTGGTGAACTTCAGGTTCAGTGAAAGACCCTGTCTCAAGAAATAAAGTGGAAGGAAAGTGATTGAGGAATGCACCCAATGTGGACCTCTGGCCTCCACACACAGAAACTTGGTGCGTGTGTGCGTGTGCTCACACACACACACACACACACACACACACACGGGGTAGGGGGCAAGGCACTTAAATAACTTAAGATAAATAGAAACAAATTAAGAGTTTTAACATAATTTAGAGCAAATAAAGAAAATCCAGAAAATATCCAATAATAGCCATGCATGGTGGCTTATGTCTTTAATCCCAGCACTCAGGAGGAAAAGGCAGAGTCAGAGACAGGTGGATCTCTGTGAGTTTGAGGCCAGTTGGGGCTACAAGGAGACCCTGCCTCAAAAAAGAAAAAAAATTATACATATATCCAATAAAAAGATTTAGAAAATGATGCATGTTTTAGTTGATTAGTTCCAATATTTTGAGTAAGTCTTACTTTGAATGTCATTTTATTTTATTTTAGTCTATAGTTATTGTATCATCATGTATAATTGTACTATATTTTATAAACAAAACTTTCTAAAGTAATGTGGATCACCTTTTTTTTTTGCCAACTAAATGTTGATGTTTTTGTCTGTGATTTGCTTCTGTATTTTAGGCCTTCTAAAAAATAATGTTGGTATTTTGGCTCAGAGGAAGTAAACCACACTGTACTTTGTCAAAACTTTAAATAAAATATAAAGGGCAGTGGAATTGTATTTACTGTTTTGAATGTAAGCTCTAAAGAATGGAATCATTTGTTGAAAGGCTTTAGCTTTATGTGAAATCACATTGCATCAACTTTGCTTACAGAGAAGAGAGAATAAAAAGTGTATTTATTTATTCATTTACTATTTTTGCCTATAGTAGGTCACAGAATTACTGGTCCTCTGTCTATGTGGTTAGTAACAAAGTTTAACTGTACCTAAATGAACTGTATAAATAAACCTTTGTGCTCAGAACCAACCAAGTTGTAGTGATTGAAGTTAAGGTCATAGCTAGGTACACAAAAAGAAAAATTTTGACTTATAATTTTTTTTTAATATTTTTTTATTTTCAGTTTTTGTGTGTGTATATTGCTTGCATGTATGTAAGTGTGCCCGTATCATGTAGTGCCCATGGAAGTCAGAAGAGGGCATTGGATTCCTCTGGAACTGGAGTTATGGATGGTTGTTAGCCACCATGTGGGTACTGAGAATAGAACCCAGGTCTTCTGCAAGAGCAGCCAGTGTTCTTGTCCACTGAGCCATCTCTCCAGCCCCAACTTACAATTTCTTTAAAAATATAGCTAATCCATTAAGAAAACACCAGTATATTTGCAATTGTATTTTAATAGCACTTAAAATACTTTGTACTAATTAGTTCAGGGTTATTTTGATTATTTACTTTATGAGCCATCAAAATGTATTTTTAGATGCTGAAATTTGGATCCGTGTCGTACATTTTTATGTTTGTACACTTTATAGTTCAACTCAAATAGAACACAGTCTAACAGGTTATATGAATATATCCTTATAAGCTATAAAATTTAAGTGAAACTTTTCTTTAACCTTTATTTTTCAGCACTACATTACTTTCCAGAGTACCAGTGGCTGGTGGATTTCACAGTAGCTGCTACAGTTGTATATGTAGTAACGGAAATCTACTACAGTTTCATGAAGCCTACACAGGAAATGAATATCAGCGTAGTCTGGTGCCTCCTGGTTTTGTCTTTTGCAATGTATCCTTCAAAACATCATTAGCATTATAAATTTATTTCTCTTTTGCAATTAGTACCGTTGAACCTTATCTCTAGTTTGAAAAAGATTTGCCAATCATTGGAAATTTTTTCTTTGTTGAATTCTTTGTGTATTTTAGAATAGTTTAAATTTACTCTTTGACAGCTTCATACATACATACAGTACCTTGATCATTTGCAACACAAATTCTTTGTGTAACTTAAAATTTCAAAGTAGAGGGGGTAGTTTTAGGTGTAGTGAAAGGTACCACCTCACTCTTTTCCCTTTTTATCCAAGTGCAGTATCATGGAGGCAGCCAGCTACTTTCATCCTTTAGGGTGTGGGAATGGAGGGGAGGATCCTTCTAGATGCATGGTTAGTATTCGATACTGATACTGTTTCAGTGTTAAATATTAGTATTTTCCTCTTTTCCATTCCCCCAAATAGAGAGTCAGTTTTGCTACCTCATACCTGTGAAAATACTATTTGTAGTGAGACATTAAAATGTACTATTGCTTTCCTTGAATACTTTTTAATTTTTATTGTATTTAAATGAAATTTTCTCAGAACTATGGTACATCAGTACTTCAGTAAATCGTTTCCATGTTGTTCCCATGGAGCTATCCTTCAGGAGCCCTCATTTCTTTATAAACTTAAAAACAAATTATTTCCTACTGCAGTAGTTGGTTTATTTTGTTTGTTTGTGGGTGGGTATGGGTGTTCATGTGTTTGGGGGAGAGAGGTGCAGGCAGAGGACAACTTGTGGAATTTGGTTCTCTCCTTGTACCATGTAGGTCTAGGAAATTGAACTCAGGTTCTGAGGCTTGGAGGCCCTTTAGCTGCTCAGCCTTCTTGTCAATTCCTTCTTTTGTATAACTCTTACCCTGGGACTTTACTGTCTTCCTAAAAATTCCATGTTTTACTTTCTAGCGCCTTTGATCTGTTCTTCCTTGGTTTACTGTCCTTTTGGAAGAGTGTATTCTTCTATGGTATCCTAATAATGTGGTTTTGAAATTTTTTGTCTCAAGCTCTTGATTGATTGATTGAATTTGCTTAATAGGAAGTTCAATGAAAGAGTTTTAAGAATTTTGAAGTGCTGAGAAACTGGATGCCCTAATGATACTCATGTTGTGCCTCCACTCCCTGCCCTGTATGCAACTTCCTGGAGCTTTTGCTCTTTATTTTTGGTATTCCGAACTTCTGTTATTAAATTCTAGATTTTCTCTTTAGATCTAGAAACTCGTATCACTTACTCTACTGGGCAGTATTTTTGTACCTTAATGAAGATCCTGTCTTATTCTTGTGCTAAGACTGCCAGTCTGAAAACTTATGTTCATTAAGTTCTGGGAAGCTTTTTCATAATTATTAATGATTTTCTTTTAATTGTGAATATTTTGGGAATGCTTATTATTCAGCAAGTGGTATTCTAAGACAGCCTTCTGTATGGCATATGTATAGTCATTATGTTTTTATAGTAGGGGGGTTTGGGGAGATTTTAACTTTCTTAACCATTTTATGTTCTTTAGAGTTTCAACTACAGTTTAAGATATTCAAGAACTCTTATATTTCACCCTTTTGTTTTACGATTACATTATTTTGTGTTTACCTAAGATATTAGTGAGAGGGATTTCTTTTGGAATATTCCTTTCTTCACATTGGTCATACTTTAATCATATGTGGGAAGTTGATTCTTCTTAGGAAGTTTTTCCTTGATGTGCATACTGACCAGGAAAAAAAAAGCACACTTGGAAATGGCTACTCACAAGGTTTCTATGAATAAGCTTCATCTATTATTTCACTTAATTTAATGACAGGGATTCTACACAGTCTTTAGCAGTGACCTAGCCACTACTCCATTTAGGAGAAGATCCCAAACAACAGCAGCCCCGTGGGAATATTGTGTCCAACTGAATGTTTACACTAGAGTATAGAAAATACTAGAGAGTTTACAAGTAATTTTCTACTAACCTTGGCTCTCCATAAAGAGGTTAGGAATGGAGGAGGAAGGAGAATTGTGTGTACAATCAAGTATGTGAATTTTATTTAAACCTTTGAATGTGAGAAAATAAACTTGTTGCCTTTAAGCACGTTTAGGAGACTAGAATTAAATGCCAAATAATCTAGATTAACACCAAAGACGCATGTGCTTATAGTCCATCCTCTATCTTGGTTGTAACAAATCTGTTTTCATCTTTAACACTTGGTGAACTGAGTATAGAATAAGTGACTTCTGTCTGACATCTCATTTTCTTATTGTATGCTACTGCTTACTAATCAAACACATCTCCATTGACTACCCAGGACAGTAGCTCTACTGAATTCCAATCACATTATACATCAGTTGATTCAGAAATTCTCTGAAGTTGTTACTAATGAAATGGTCTTAGTTAAAGTGGGACTTATTTGACACGTGTAGCTTAATTAGTTTTGTATCCTTTCTTTAGTTATATTGACATACCTCATAGAACAGTGATAATTTCTATAGCTCTTGAAGGTCCTAAGAGCATGAGAATGTTGTTTTAAATGTGTAATATTAAACTTTGAATATTGGAACCTAGAAGTGTGCTGTCTCTTGTCATCAGCTCATTCTTAAACCCAAACTGATTCTTAGCTCTACTCTTCTTTTTCATTTGTAGTTCTGAATACCTTCTTTTACTCAGTCATTCGTTATATTTCAGTTCCAATTATGCCAAATTGCACAGTATGAGGAGGATAAATGAAGAAAGCCTTGAAGGAAAATGCATAGTTCTAGAAATTGTCTTTGCTTTGTGATGAGGTCTTAGAGTCACTGGAGAAATACCTATTGATTTTATGATTATGAAGCATAGTGTTTTCATTTATGAATAAATGGAAAGGAAAAAGTTAAAAATAGCCATTGAAAAAATGCCAAAGATCTTGTAATAGAAATAAAACTCCTAAAAGTTAAAGTACTTTACAATGTGCGTTAGGCTTGCTTTCTTAAGAAACTTTTGCCAGAATAAATTGTAGCACAGAATAATATTGAGTCAATTACATGAATTTCAGTGAGAAGAAAGTTATTCTACAAAGAATACTGAAGCTTCTCAGTAGTCCTATTGTATTTGGTTAAGAACTGAATCATTAGTTACATTTTACAGCACTGTTAGTGTTTTACAGTGTTGAAGGTTTAAGATACAAAATGTATTATATATGTTTTACATATATTTAAGTTTTTAATTTGCCATGACCATGAACATGCACATTTTTTAAATTTATTTTTATTTTATATGTATGTGTTATGCCTGCATATTTGTAAATGCACCCATGTCATGCAGTGCCCGTGAAGGTCAGAAGAGAGTGTCGGATCCCCTGGAACTTGAGTTACAGACAGTTGTCAGCCACTGTGTAGGTGCTGGGATTTGAACCCAGGTCTTCTGCAAGAAGAGCCAGTGCTCTTAACTGCTGAGCCATCACTCCAGCCCCCACACGAACATTTTCATTAGGAAAAGTTGCAAATAGTTTAAATGAAAGAAAATAAGTTGTAGGGTTTTCTGGTTTACTCAGTTTTATAGATATGTCAAGTAAAGGAGTATGAATTAGATACCTTATTTACTGAGAAATAGACAACTATAGCAACGCAGTGAAACTGTCACCATTTCTAAATTTGTTAAAGGTTATAGATTATTAGATTTCTCCCTTGTAGAAGTGTTCTGCTTCAAATGAATATAGAAATTGAAACTCTGAAGTATATTGCAGTGGATGTCAAGTCTAGTGAGAAAGAAGCAAAGAGTTAGTCATGGTTCTTATTTAAACTTGAAACATGTAATGTCCAAACTTGTGTCTTTATTGTGTGCATGTTTGTATGTGCATGTGAATACCTGCATACTATGGCATGCATGTGGAGGTCAGGGACAACTTGAGGAGAGTCTGTTCCCTCCAGTACCCATGTAGGTTCCTGGGGGTCATACTTGGGTTGTTAGGATTAGTGACAGGTCCCCTTTACTGGCCTCAAGCTTGTTCCTTTTATGAACTTTTACAGACCTTTTATGACATCAGAATGCTCAGATATCTGGTCACAAACCTAGAGTGAAATAGGGAATTTGAGTAATGGTACCTTATTTTTCTTTGTTAATTTATAAATGAGTTTGACTTTTTCCTTTTGGCTGGGAAGTGATATTTTTCTTCCCAAGGAAAAAGGTTTTAGGGTAGCCTTAGTTCTATAGTGTGCTTAGATTGAGCCTTACTGACTGTATGTATATTTTGTGGGGTGGAGTTTAAAATATTCATGATAATTTCTTTAACATCTGAGAGAGTTTTAGGTTCCTGTTCTAAGTAGTAAATAAACATGCTTATCTAAGAAAATATGAATTGGGGCTGGAGCGATGACTCAGTAGTTAAGAGCATAGCTGCTCTTGTAGAGGACCCTGGTTTGATTCCCAGCATTCCACATGGTGGCTAACAACTGTCCATAACTCCAGTTCCAGGGAAATCTGATGCTGTCTTCTGTCTTATGCAGGCATTACACAATATGGGTCTACTAACACACATGCAGACAATACACTCATACACATAAAATATAATAAATTTTTTCAAAAAGAAAATATAAATGAATTTTAAGGTATCCAGCTTTTTTTTTTCTAATGTTGAAATATATTCTCTTTAAAAGAATTTTATTTCATAGGTCCTAATGAATGCACTTATTGTTACCTTTCAGTATAGATCTGATTTGGGGTGGTTTCTAGGTCTTTTTGTAGTATAATATGCAAAATGTAATGTGTTTCAAGTATTTTGGTTGCCTTTTCCTATTAAAAATGGATGTGGGAGGCTTAACCAGTTGAGTAGAAAAAGCAGTAGGAATTTTTTGATAGAAGTCACAAAAATAAGTGTACATAGTTGAACAACTTTCAGTTTATGTGAAGATCACTTAATTTAATAGAAACATGATCTCTTTTTAAACATAGCCTCAAATTTGTGAATAATGTTAAGTGAATCCGTTGTTTATCCATTAAATATTATCCATCATTTTATGTATTGGCACCAAAAT